TATGTTTTCCTGCAGCCGCGTCGTCGCTCACGCGGTTTCGCGAAGGGATCCCCGGGTGGCCAAAAGCTCTGGCCCGAAGGTGCTGACGCTGGCTCTGACGCGCAGAACGACCTTGTGGTCATGTTTTGGAGTGGCGGGAAGGACTCATTCTTGGCGCTGGGTGCCTTGTACGAGTCTTACGCTGTTGAACAGAAGCCTATGCCTCGCGTTGTGCTGCTTACAACGATCGACCCGAAGACAAACGTCGTCCCTATCCAGGACATCCCCTCTCAGACTATTGCAGCTCAAGCCGAAGCTCTGGAACTTCCTTTGTGCCTAGTAGCTGTGGGACTGGGAGACGAGTACACGGCTGCACTGAGGAACGCACTCCGCGATATTCCGGAGCAAATGAAGCGAACGAAGAAGTCCAGCAAGAGCCCCGAGCAGAACGGTACGACTCCGAGCGTTTCTGCCCTTGTATTTGGCGACCTTCACCTGGACGATATCTCGATCCAGCAGAGCACGCCTACAGTCAAGAAAACAGTACTTCAGTATTAGTTTATGCGTCAACAATTGTGCAATATTTCTCTTTAACAATAACAACACCTCATCGTGAGGATTGGCCCCACAGTCAATGGGATGGGCGTGTCATCTCAACAGATACAGGAAGCTTGCTTGGCATCGTTCGAGAGCCGACGGCTCGTTGCCCTCCGGGAGCCTTTACGGCAGTTCCAGAATGTAGAGTGGCGAGTGAGGCTTGGCTTCCTCTGTATGGCACTGCGTAAAAGTGACTAGAGTGTTGCTTGGAGGTCGTTGCTGCGCCTGAGCTTGAGGCGGCCTTAGTTGCTAGAAGTTGAGGGTACAGTACAACTTCAACTTACAGTCATGTGACGTAAATTGTGCAGATTTCCCTCAGCCCGATGACAAAGATGTCCGCCGAAAACGGTAGGTGGACGTCAGTGTCCACGTCGGTGAAGAACAAAAAGAGGCTCGAGCAGATGTGGACGAACTTCTCCTTTCCAGACAAATCTGACGAACGAATCAGCTCCTCGCCAGGCCACTCATCAAACCATCCAAACTAATGATTTGATGTGCATCAATTCGCAGCGCCCTCACTTCAAAGTCTCCACTTCACTTCCGATTCCGCGAGCTCTCAAGCACGAGCCGCTCCCAATAAAGCAACCAACGGGCGTCATGGCGTGGCGCGACCTCCGAATCATCCAGCGTCTGGGGCTGCGTGTGCCGCTGTTCCAAGCTCCGATGGCCGGCGCGCAAGCCAGCGACCTCGCCATTGCCGTGGCCCGTGGCGGAGGTCTCGGCGCCATTCCTTGCGCTCTGCTGTCCCCGGACACCGTGCGCGAGCACGTGCAGCGCTTCCGAGCCGCGACGACGGCGCCGATCAACCTCAACTTCTTCTGCCACTCGCTGCCTCCTGCCAACGCTAAGGCGGACAAGCAGTGGCAAGATATCCTCGCTCCATACTACGAAGAGTACGGCGTGAACCTCGCTCACTTGACAGCGCAGGGGGCGCAACGGATGCCGTTCGACGAAGGGAGTCTCGAGCTGGTGCGGGAGCTCCAGCCTGAAGTCGTGAGCTTCCACTTCGGCCTGCCGGCTCCTCACATGCTGCAAGGCGTCAAGGACACTGGCGCCTTCGTGATCTCGTCCGCCACCACTGTGCGCGAAGCTGTATGGCTCGAAGAGCGAGGCTGCGACGCTATCATTGCTCAGGGGGTGGAGGCAGGAGGCCATCGAGCTGTCTTCCTACCCAGAGAAGGTAACAAGCCTAGCTCCTCTGGTGAGCAGTACCGCAACAGCTCCATGGATTTCCCACGACAGATTGGGACGATGTCGTTGGTCCCGCAGATCGTCGACGCAGTGAAGCTCCCGGTGATTGCAACGGGTGGAATCGGCGACGCTCGAGGGGTTCTAGCTGCAAGTGCACTTGGTGCAACCACAGTGCAAATGGGTACCGTCTTCCTGCTCGCCGACGAGACCAAGACGTCGGCTTTGCATCGACAAATGTTGAAGTGGGCGGCGACTGCAACGGGGGAGGAAGCTCTGGAGACGGCGATCACCAACATTTTCTCGGGCCGACCAGCTCGAGGATTCGTGACGCGTGTGATGCGGGAGCTGGGTCCCATGTGTGCTGCAGCGCCAGAGTTCCCCACGGCTGGAGCACCACTCGCTGCGCTCAAGAAGGCTGCGGAGGTAAATGGAGACACGGCCTTCTCGTCCATGTGGTCGGGTCAGTCACCGGGCTTTGCGAAGGAGAAATCTGCCAAGAACATTGTGCGCTCATTTTCAAACCTTCTCCGTGAACACATTTGGGGCAAAAGGCAACGTCCTTAGATCACCGAAGGCATGCCTCGCAGCGGGTTCGCAGTGAATCCGTGCGAGGCAGCCCCCGATGAAATGGCGAGGTGGACTTGGATGGTCGCCTTGATGGTGCTTGGCTGGAGTTGGTTGTTGGGTGTGTGATGATGCATACTTGAGTGGCTTGGTCGCGATGGTCGCCGCATGCCCTTGAACGAGCGAGCTTCGTGACAGCTCCGTTGTCCGCGGCAGCTTGGCGCCTCACCCCAGGTTGAAGAAGAGGGGCGAAGGTGGGGAGGGCGCCGGAGCTGTCGAGGCCATCAGCTACTTGTTGATGCTACAGCATTTTCCTCGTCGCACGGTGCACGGCGAACGAGATGTCGGGCCGCGTGCACCTAGAGATCCAGAGCAAGCTCCCCACAAATGACTGGAATGTCTGCACCGTCGGGCGACCTGGTGTGCCAGCACCACCACTTGGCAGCAGCTCCCCTGGCGCCTCGCCGTCTTGTTCACCGCCGATCGGCGTGCTGACCGGGCCCGCTTTGCCCAACCCGAACTTCACCAACATGTCCAGGATCACCTGCTCCTGATCGAGAGTCCAGCCGTCCTCCTCGTCGTAGCTGAAGGCGATACCCAGGAACTTCGACACGACTCCTAAGCCCTTCAGCTCCACAATCTGCATGTCCTGGAAGAACTTGTCCACCTTCTCCACGCTTGTGGCCGTCACGAGGATGTCGTCGACGTACACGCCGACGAGCGTCATGCCATCCTCCTCGATATTGACGTAGAGGCAGCTGTCCGAGTAGCACTGCCGGAATCCCAGCGACAGCAAGATGCTGTGCAGCAACTGGTTCCACAGCCTGCCCGACTGCTTGAGCCCGTAGAGCGCTTTCTCGAGCAACAACGCCAGCTCGTATTTGCTCTTGACACCCAGCGCACGGAGCTGCTTCTCCGTGAACTCCATTCCGGTGGGGATGATGAGCATGATGACCAACTCTTCCTCGTTCTTGGCCTTCACGTACGCACTGGGCACGTCTCCGTGGCGCGCGGGAACCTTCCAGATGCGCGACACCACCAAGATGATCTTGCCCGACTCCATGTCGAGCACGGCACAGAAGGTGTACGTATAGTCAACCCCGTACTCCTGCTCGTCGCCATGCGCCACCAATCGAGCTTTGTACCGCTCGATGGTACCATCCGCGTGCGTCTTCAGCTTGAACACCAATTGGTGTGCAGCAGCTTTGCGTTCTCCGGCTTCTTCACCACCTTCCACGTGCCGTTCTGCTCCAGCGCCTCGATCTCCTCTCTGATGGCTTGCTTCCACTGCTCTGAGCGCGGGTCCCTCATCGCCTCGCGGAAGTTCTTCGGGTCCTTAAGCATGACCGCGCTCACGCTACCAACGGACACGTGCTTCTTGCCCATGTAGCGCGTGCGCATGCGCGTAGGCTGCACCTCTTCTGCTGGTAGCTGTTCTTCATCAGCGCCAGCTCCTTCCACTCTTGCAGCGTCTTCTGCTGCAACGGTTCTCTTCTTCTTGCTGCTCTTCTTCGACTTCACCGCCGGATCGCCGCTCTCGGGCACCTTCGGCGTCTCACTGATCTGCGACGAGTCCGCGACGGGCTCCTTCCGTTCCGCGGCCTGCTCGCGTTCTTCAACAGCTCTCTTCAGCTCGGGGTCCTCGCGCTCAAGCTGCGCGTTCTGCTTGCTGTCCAGCGTCTCCACGTTCTTCATGTGCTGGGTGGTGATCACGGGGATCCTCAGAGTCGAC